CCCCAAAACCCCAAAACCCCAAAACCCCATGAATGATATAAGCATAATTTTAAAAAAGATGAATTAATAATAAAATACTAATTTGAAATTGAAAATTACCAAAATGCAAGATAAGCACAAAAATGGGCAAAGCATTCAATCAGTCATAGATAACGTAGAATCTCACTCATAGTACTTAATAGACTCAAAGAAAAGTAGCAAGTCGTTAAGTGTAATTAGAGAAGTATTGAATTCCAAAAGACTTTCTCTCGGTGCTTTAAGTCTAAACATGAATAACATAGTTTCAGCTCCTATTTACGGATCATTGCTAATTGCAGAAGCGCTATTTCCAATCTACTCAATTGCAATAATCATTTAGGCATAAATCCATAATATACATATAGTAGATACTTGGCCTCTAGAAACTTATTTGGATTCTTCACCAATAAATGACTTCTTATTTATTCAAATCGCTATTATTTGCATTTACCTCACTATAACAATACTATTTCTTCTCACATGCTATGAAAAAGATTCTCTCTAGAAAGTTAGAGAGAACTCAATTGTGTAAAGCTTACTCACGATCTTTATTTTTGCAAGTTAAACCATTATGATTGGGCCATACTTATAAATAACATTACGAACTTTCTTTATGAGTTTGGATTCTGAAAAGCTTGGAAATTATATAGCTTTATAGTCTTTAAATGTAATTAATCTGGCGATTCTAATATGGAATCAGGTTTTCCTTAAAAGAATAATGACACTGAAATTACCATTTTAAAAATGCCCTAATGCTTCTGTTGACCATAGAAGTTTTTATTTGAAGTTTTTGCTAGATTTAGCCTTTATTGGTTCACATGTTTTATTTGCATCTTTTCCATCACTTTTTCAGTATGTCGATATTGTAGGGGTGATTTTACTACTTTTAACACTTGGAGTCTGTCTCAGTAAACAATTTGTAGTTCCTATCTATAATAAAAACATCAACATTACTGTTAATTTAATACATTGGGTCATACTCTCCTGTTGCTTCATAATTGTAATAAATTCTTTTGACGAGTCAGTTACATCTGTTAACATGTACTATCTAGCTATACTTATTCCATTTATGGTCGGAATGTCATTTTTAGTTCAGTATCATTGGGAAAACAGAGTAATGGATAGAATCAGAATAGGATAAAGTAAGATGGAAGTTCAGCATTAATACATTCTATACCTATTGCAAGAGCATATTAGGAATTTAAGGGCAGATAAAGATAAAATGAGTTCAAGTTTGAAGTTTCTATTTGGTATATTAGATGATCACAATAGTGACTGCCTTAAAAATAGCTGCCTCTGCCATCATGCTGAATCAATAGTTTGGATTCTAAATTAAAAAAGAGATGAAAATCAAATAATTATTGATCTGAGCACATAGGATTTAGATTTCCTTAATTCTATTTAAGTTGAGATACTTTACTCTAATAACAATCAAGTTAATGCTCCTTTTACTTTCAATGACTATCTTGACAAAAAGTATGTGATGCTGAGAGAAAAAAGAGAAACATTAAACTCAAAAATGATAAATGAGGATCTCAAAAATATTGACTTCATTTTTGAAGATGATAGAATTTAGAAAGATCAGAGTGAGGATAATATTTATTATAAAATAGACTCTTAAAAACTCAAAATGGCTTATTTTGCAAACTTTATAAGACAGTATTTCGAGTCAGCTATTACCAAATTTCCAAATAGCTATGATATTAAACTACTTTATTCCTACTTTGCTTTGTATTTTATGAAAAATATCTTCCTTTGCATAAACATATTGAAATAAGTGGACTTTTAAAAGCTAAGTTTGATTGAAAAAACCAACTTTAGACTAAATGAAGCTTTACTTTTAATGGAAATTTAAAACTAATTTCTACTTCAAGAAAATTATCATTAAGGATTTCAGTATGACCTTTTAGGAGTAATGAATTACCAAAAGGTAAAGTACAAACAATAGATGGATCAGAGAAATTTGGATGCTGAAAGCTTTTTGAATTACGCCAGGTTGCAGGAAAAATTTAATGCAACAATTATTTAGCTAAGCAAGCATATTATGTAGTTTTGGTATGTACTGCAAGAACCTATCCTTCTAGTAGATAAGGTAATTTCTGAGGGTTTCTCAGTAGCTGATTATATTGCCCTTACATATGATACTTTCAACAAAATGGATGAAGCTAGCAAACATAAAAATGAGAAGATCTATCATAGCTTTGCTATTATTCATCAGCAACTACTAAATGATTCCTAAAGTTATTATTTATATCTCTCAAAGATGAAAAATGTAATAAGTATGAGAAAATTTATTAAGAAGAATTATCAGATGAATGACTCTTATTTTGAGCTGGGTCTATTACTTGTTAGTGCAAGATATGAGAATTTTGGAAAAATACTAGAAAATAATCAAAGTTTTTAAAGGATTACAGGATTTTCAACTATTGACCTCAAGTATAGCAGCTATGAGATTGTAATGAATGATCTTGTCAAACTTTACCATTCAAAATTTGTATCAGATTATAACCAAAACGGTGAGAGAATAATGCTTGATAGAAAAGTTAATCAATTTATTAAGAAGAAAAATGGGTATATTATACCAGCATAAATTATAGTAAAGAATCATTTTTCAAATACTTATGGATATACTTTCATTGCATTCTTCAATGAAATACCAGAGTTACAATTAGATGGAAGTACAAGCATTGGAATCCCTACAAGCAATCTGATGTTTATGCTTTGTGATAATCAAGATGGTAGAATTTATAATGTCTGTAAGAACTCTGCAAAATATCTTGGAATAAAGAAGCACTATTTGATTTAGAATTCATCTTATCTAGACTTTGAAATAAGGATAGGCTAGATATCACCTTACTTAGACATAAATAACTTCAAGGACATATTAAGAAATAATGAAAACAGGCATGATAACTTATTCTATGGAATATTCAAACTAGATTTAAACTGCATCAGCCAAAGAGTGTAAAGTGTTTTCTAAGCAACAAACTATGTAAACGCTAGATTCAAGATATTCTTCGAATAATTTCACAACAAGTCATTTGAATACTACGTAATTGTGATTCAGATTATAGAATAAGATTAGATCAATCAAAATAGATTGAGTTTGGGCTTTGAAGATGAGAGAACATAGACTATGGGATAGGAGGATTCAGAAATAAATAAAGCAATGGCGTACGAGGATGCTAATCAATCCTCTAACTCTAGTACTGATTCCTCAAAATAAACTGACTTAATTAAAAATTAAACAATCTCAATGGAGAAAAAGACTCCAAGAAGCTTGAAAATAGTTATTCAGCTCCTTTTGATTATGTTTTTAACTATGATCACGGTAAGCGCAGTAAATTTATATCTTACACAATCAAGATAGTAGAAAATTATATCCTAAATCGAGATAGCAAATAAATCGTCAGGCAGACTTAATTTTGCTGGTAGATGCAGACTTATGGTAAGAGAGCTGATGAACATTGCAAATGGACTTGAACCAACTTCTACGAAACTCTTGAGCAATAGAAGTCAATATTACAAAACCTAATTACTCATGTTTTAAGAATAATTAAGAATAGGATAGAATTAATTAGACAACTATAACTATTTATTTTCAGATCACTTCTAGGAGGATGTGAAAAGAGAGAATCTTTTTGTTTAATATTTAGATGAAAATGGTAGAATTTATGCTTCAAATCATACTCTAAACTATTTGATGAATATCTATGTTTCAAAGCTCCTTGAATTCTATAACTATAATATGACCTAACTAAAGACAAAAATGGACATTTAATAACTTAAAAATGCATCTTATAAATTTAAGCCGACAGCTATAGATCAAACTATCTTCTTTGTTATTCAAAATGGGAACGATGTTTTGAACTCTTACATTTGGACTACTGATGAATTATATAATGAAGAAGTTGAGAATTACGCCAATGATACTATTTTTCAAACAGAAATAACAATTATACTTTCAATTATCATCATAGCAATAGTATTTCTCGTTGTTACACCAATCATAAGTGTGATTCAAGATAGACAATACTAAGCAGTTGCCTTCTTTTTACTAGTTCCTAAGAACTAAATTGACAAGCTTATAGAATAAACTTAAAAATGCTTGGAATAGCTAATTGTACAAGATAATCTTTAGTTGAAATCTAAATAAGGAAAATATATAGCAGGAGATTAAAATGCTGACCAATCCTCTAGAAATGAAATGATGAGTTAAAATATAGGGGAGCTATAAAATAATAACACCAATAATAACATATCATTCTAAACTATGAATCACACAAAACAAGAAAATACAATATCAGATATGGATATACTGGTCACACATAATCAGAATGATATCAGTTTGTATGATGCTAATTCAAATGTATCTAGATAGCAACTTAAAGATGAAACATAAAGGTAAATGCAAGGCAGAACTTTACTAAATAGGCTTAAAAGTAGATCGAAATAAAATAATGACTATTCATCATCTTCTTAAGCATCAGATGAAATTTCACATGAAAATATAAACAATGACCAAAATTAGGAAAAATAAAACCAAGATAAAAAAGTAGAAGAGGACAAGCTTAATGAAATTGAGGAAAATGAAGGGAAGTAGTAGACATTATTAAATTTCAAGAAATCTAAAAGGATTAAAGTGATCACTATTAGTTTAACTTTTATGGTGTGCTTCTGTGTCTACTTTCTTGGATCATTCTTTATGACATAAAATACCTATAATAGAATATTAGTAATAATGGACTAATTAAACACTATCTATAACAAAGACATCTGCATAGAAAATGCAATGATCTTTCTAAAGGAGAGCTTTGCATAAAATGTTTCTTATGTACTGTTTCATCAACCAAAAACTATAGCTTCAAACTATTATATTTAATAATGCCTAGAACTTGAACATAAATATACAATTCTAAGGAAAAATTAGGATACTGCTTTTGATGATGTAAAAAGGTTTATGATTGACATTGAGACGGATAGACTCTGCTAAGTTATCTATCCAAATGACTCAGCAAGATTAAAAGTCTGTCAGACATCATATAATGGAATCCTATTAAAGGGAATATAAAATGCTCTATCAATAGTTATTTCGAATTTAAATCAACTAGATCTTAGATTTAACTCTATGAAGTAACGAACCTTGGATGAGATTAAAGTCTTCAACAATAATACAGAACTAAGAGAAATGGTTGAGATGAAAGTATACATTATGGATGAGATATTTAATTAACTTAAGCTAAGATCATATTCGTCAGGAACTTAATACTTGGATTAGCAAACAGCCTAGTATGTCATTTTCTTTACTGCTTTTATCGCCACTATTTTCGTACTGATAATAGTAATTTTTGGAGTTGTGCTAAGTAAGATGAGAAATTATCTATGGCAAATAAACTTAGCCATGAAAGTGCTGCCTTTGGATGATTTACCAAAAGGAACAATTAATAATCTGAAAAAATTCTTCAAAAACTGAGATTATTCGATTTTAATTTTTAATCATCTTTCTAATTTTTATTGATGGGGTTTTGGGGTTTTGGGGTTTTGGGGTTTTGGGG